AAATAAATCGACTTTATTTTACGAGGGTAACACGTGACAGTAAAGAACTGATGAACTTGTGGCCCTCACACTCACACTCACTACCTCTACATTAATTATTTTAGCACACAACACTCCTCACATGTTGATTTTTACTGAGGGAGGAAAACCGGAGGACCCGGAGAAAAACCCTCGTGGCAAGGGAGAGAACAACACATCAAACAAACTCAAACTCACATATGGTCCGTGCCCGGGAATCGAACCCGGACCACAGCGGTGAGAGGCCAGCAGCTTAACCACTAGACCACCCTTGCCACCCACCCACTCAAACTGAGAACCATTCGATTGTAAATTATCATTCTACYCTACTTACTATTCACAAAAATGATCGTTAGAATAGAGTTTTCCTRYAATACAAYGSTWTTAATWCAGARCTTAGTTCTGATGTTCATGCTTTGTTTACAGAAGATTTGCTTRAGCACAAACTTCCATCAACAGGTATTGTACGAGTAACACAACAAATTAGTCCTCAACATCACTTTCTTAAAGAAACGTCACAACTACGTCCATTTTTGTAAAGGAACAGCAAAAATGGCTCTGGAGGAACGTTTTYGCAAATATAAAAACATACGAAGACTACAACTCTTCTCGTGGAAAATAGCGCCCTGCATATTAGGTATATAGTCGTATTTTGCATACCCTAAGATCCAGTACCAGGAATCTTGTACATCAGCAATAACCTAATTTAAACAAGTGACATTAAAACTGTACAATTATAAAAATCCAATAGTCTTGTTAGGTGCTACATACTTTGAGGCCAAGATTTTGGAGTTTCAGTAAGGTCTGTACATAGCTGCATGAAACAACATAGATTATGTMAGTCGCTTATAAATGAATACATATGATTTTATCTAGTAGCCATATCTGGGCTAAAAAAATTGTTTTASGATTTGTTGTGTCTATCCGTATTGTATTTGAGGCCAGTAAGAAACAAATGCAACAAATGATAAACGTAGAATGCATTAGAAATTTAATTCACTTGAGCCATGCTAGATAGGAAAATATAAACGATGCTTAAACTTACGATCTCTACCTTAAAAAGTGTTAAAACGAACATTTTTTTATAAAAGCTAAGAAAAACTAAAAAACAATAAAATAAATAAATAATAGAAAAATAAAATAAAAACACAACCAAATGAAACAAAATAACAACAAAAATAGACACAAAAAATAACAAAATGAAACAAAGCATACAAAAAAAAAGTTCCGTGGGAATTCATCGAATCCTGATTCATTTGTTGGTCAATGCAAAAAAAAAATCAAACTAACAGCAGACACATTCTGAGCCGCACCATAGGAAAATCAGACCACAGATTCTACAGAAAAGTAGAGGAGATACGATGTTTAAAGAAAGGAAATTCGATGTTACCTCAAGTGTCTCCCGAAAAATAAAATACAAGTAATTGGTACACGGCATTTGCGATGATCTAGTTACCAGTCTATTCCCTTGGCAGCCTCGCGTGACGTCCCATCATAAAGCCTTCTGATGAAAAATGTTAACGTCCGCGGGATACAAGCTCAAAATGTGCTGGTTTGACCTTTTTTCGGCTCCGTTTGAYTCATTTACAAGCAGAGAAGGTAAATCAAAGGCATCACTTATTTCTTGACTGACGCAGCTATCTAATTACTAAAGTCCTGATTTCGACCTGTAGGGGTTTTGAGAGACTTACAGTGATCCTTGTTGGACAGCTTCTCCAGTTATGTTAGTTCCTGTAACATTATTGGTCTCAGTTGGGAACAGATTGCCAAGCTGGTTGCTAAGTATAGTAGGGACGCATCGATTCATCACTTAAAAGCAAACAAAGTGAATCGGTGAGTATTCACAGGGATGAAATAAATCAAACAATGTTGTACGAACATCACTATCAAGAACTTCAACATCATCGTCATACATGTAATCAGTGTTATCAACCACTGGTCATCACCATCATCATGTTTTACTACAGGGCAATACTACTACAGTAATGAATACACACTGACAAGAAGGCCTCTCTCACCAATCAGACCTGCTAGTCCTCAGCACTCATCATTACTGTCACCATCATCCATTATGTTTTCATACAAGTCAATACTACTAAAGTAACAATACACTCCAGGTAAAGAAGCCTTTCATTCACCAGAATCAGACCCTCTAGTCATCAGCACTCATCATTACTCTCCCAATAATGGCCATTACGATATTGTTATCACTCACCATCTGTACTCTTCAAAACGTAAGGAGCACACTTCTTTTCTTTGATCAAATTTAGTTTTTCCTGTGACAATTAAAATACAATTGYCCTATTTCATTCATAACATCATGCAGTATGTTTACATCAAGAAAAGCTGCTCAAAACAGTTGATGAATTATTTTAGACCCATTTATGTTCCTTCTGAAAGTAGATCATATGTCATGTTTTGATATATACTATGTTTATATAATTGAAACACATTACAGCCATTGTCAGTTCTGTGATATATATTCCATTATGCTCAATAAAATACCATGCAGCATAGATGATTTTAGCAATAATGAGATTGTGTGTTGGTATACGATTTCCTATTTCTAACATGTGCAATATAACAGAATATTTCCATGGAAGAGAGCGATAAGATAAACACAACCAAGTATGAACTGGAGAAAAATTCTGTCCAGTTTTTAGCAATGAGTCAATAGGTACACATAATATGCACAAAAATAATGCTATATCAATTACCAAAGTAGTTAGCCCACTTGTTTTGACATCATATCTGCAAACCATGTCATCACCACTTAAACTTGAACCAATTGCATTCACTTCTGGACATTTCTTGCGGCAAACCTAGTCGGGTTAGTATTGATGTAATCAGTATCATTCAGTAACTGCTTGAACGATTGTAGAGAGTAATTGACTACTGTTTGATGTAGGTTTGCCTGTAGTTTACCTGAGTAGTTGGACATGAATAAGCAAACAAATCAGTTGCAAAACTGGCTGGGCTGATACAGACTGTCATATCAAAGAACACTAGCTTGGGCTTATCCCTATAGAAAACAAATCRTTTTTAACTGATTACAATGATATCATGGAGACAATCATGATTTCACTTTTTGATAACAACAATCAGATTTAGAACAAAATGTGTTGACATGCATTCTACCMGTGGATATATCCTATGCTGTAACATTTTTCCAGAATGCTATCAGGCTAATATAAATAAATCTCATATCCATCTGGCTAGTTTTACACATGTATAGTTTATTTTTTATTAGAGCACACACAGGAAACCATTGATTATACAACAAAGAACTACATAGTACACAATTAACTATGAATCATTCTAGAACTCATTAATAATTCATGAGCTATTAGTCCAATGAGCATCAAACTATTGGGTCACATGATGGGCTTTTATATCCCGATAAAGCACTGATGTTTTATTCATCAGTTCTATATCAGATATATAAAGCTGATGTTTTATTATAATCAGTTCTATATCAGATATAAAGAACTGATTTTCAAGGTCATCAGCGCTTTATTGCAACCCAACACTTAGAGCAAAGGTCTCAGTTTTAATGTCGCATCATAGACGTTTGCTAGGTTTTAAATCAGTTTGAATCAATGTGCAGATAGGAAGTATAGCATAGACTAGCCGTTCTTATGTGTGGGATCAAAATTCTTTCAATTGTGGCAAACGCACATGCTCACTTAGAAGTTTAATATTATGCATTAGCTTTTTTTCTAAAATGATAACGATTTCTGGATGTTAAAGTTCGGCTCAGATCTTTATCACCCGATAAAACACACTCTTTCATTCTTCATACACTACTTATAAAATTCATTAATAATATAATTCATAGGGTATAAACMCAATGGAAAATCATTGCCGTAACCACATCTTAAAGTTYATATAAGCAAGAGATTTGTCCTGAATTGCATACAACTTTAACTTCAATTTTTTCTTACAAATRATATTTTGTCTTGAAGTTTTTTTGCAAAATATGTTTTAGGTTATTTACTAGGAATTTGATAAGCAATATAAAATAATTTGACGTGTCCGACCTTTATGGGCTATAAAACTGCTTGCTTGCAGCTCACAGTTTATATGCCAATAAAGGTTTCTCGCTCATATGTTTTATATTTCATACAAATTAACAATTATAAAATGGTCTCATGTGGCCTCTAAATAGCCACTATTTTGTTAGTTTGTTTTTCATGCTTTTTCTGTGTTTGTTCTATTAGAAGTTTTTGTTTTAAATAGATGCCTGATGCCTTTGGACATGACAYCTCTCCTAAATTTGGTACTGTTCATACCTATAGTGCCTGCTGGTTCAAGTACAAGAGTGTGACCTGACTGCATTGGTACTGACAATCATGATACACAGTGCTTGAAATTAGAACTTACAGCARGTCAAATAAGGTTTTTATTATCATATGTCTATATGTTACAATACTTATCAAATTATGCTCCAATTAGCTTTTTTTGACAGTTACTCCAATTGAAGATTGCCATTTCATTCTATAGATCAATTTTATCCAAGGCATGTGATCACTTGTTGGTTGGCTGCCATATTTCAAAATCACATGTAAATGTATGCAAGATTACGCCACATTCGATAGTTTCGTCAGTTGTCATGGATTTTAGCATAAATTCGACAAATTCAAAGAAGTCAAAGCCAGTTCAAGATACATGTAGCTATATACTAACCATTCCTCTCCCTGAGTATGGAAAAAGTTTAGATTCATTCGTAAAAACGCAATATTTGAAGAAAGTTTAAACCATAGGTATTGACCCGGCCTGCTACTGAAAAGGAAAAGCTAATATTGTTTGTCAATGTATGAGCGAAATATGTTTTTTTGCATGATTTTCGTTTGTGCGAACAGATCTGATAGAGATTTGTTTTGTACGAGTACCCAAAGTAGTAACCAACCAAGACGAAGAAGCTCAAAAACTCTCAGTATTGAGGAGAAAACTATGGATTAACGCAATAAGCCGAGTCGACTTCAAATTTTGTGGCAAACATTTTGTCTCAGGACGGGCTGCATAACCTTGGGATCGTTACAATCCTGATTGGGTTGAAGAAAAAAAAAGCGCAAAGAAAGGGTACAAGGACTAAAAGTTAGTGGAGGACTCAAGATGTAGCGATCAAAGAAATTCCATGTAAAAGAGTTAAAATCGATGAGCYTGGCACAGAAATCGAAGACATTAGTTTTGAATCCTTTGACAAGGAGTTTACATCGAATGAGAATAASGCTCGCATAATATGTATATAAACAACAAATCGCTATTTGAAAAATGARTAGCTTGATTTTCRACGGCTATTATCAGTATTATATACTATCTTTCATTTAATTTGTGCTCAGTTTCATTTCATGTCTTTTAATTGTTTATCTTTCGGTGAGTATGCTTCTGCTTTTGTKAAATAACACACCAAATAACAGAATAACTGTTGATTCAACAGGCAAGAGACAGTCCGTTTCATAGCTTTTCTGCWTCAGTAGCATGGAGTCAATACCTATGGTTTAAACTTTCTTCAAATATCGCGTTGTTACTAATGAATCTAAACTTTTTCCATACTCA